CTGAAGGTAAGCTGCGGCAGCCATTTTGCAGTTGGGAGCGTGGCGGCCATTTTGTGACTACATCTCCCGCGCAGTGTCAGAATTCCAGAGGTGCCCACGGGCTCAAAAAGATTTGGGGACCCCTGAAAGCATTCCTTTTCACCGATTCTTTTAACAAAGGGGGCTTTTGTCTTCTTCAGCCATTCTGTGATCTGCTCTGGCCTGAGGACTGCTTTCCCCTGCAGCATTTCAGCCCATTTATTGTTTTGTCGAAGGCTTTCACGGCCGGAGTTCATTAGTTGCTGTAGATATTCCGGGTTGTGTGGCCGTGGTCTTGGCATTGTAGAACCTGAAATTTCACCAGTTGCTGTGACTGGCATCCTCAGAGGTATAACACAGAAAGATGGAGTACTCTCTGTGTCAAGGTGAGAAGGAAAATGGTAGGCAGATAATTTATATCTGGTCAGGAAGGTGGGGTAATGATAACGACTCAGCTCTACCCCACCTTCTGGAGTAGATATAAATTACCTGCCTACCATTTTTCTTCTGACCTTGACACAGAGAGTACTCCATCTTTCTGTGTTATACCTCTGAGGATGCCAGTCACAGCTGCTGGTGAAACATCAGGTTCTACAAGGCCAAGAGCACGGCCACAAAGCCCGGAAAATCAGCAACTAGTTTATTGTTTGTTTTTATGCTGTTTTTATACCTTGGCTTGTATTATGTACTGAGATTGAGGCAGCGTTTCAAACAAGTGATTTCTTCATTCGCTCAGAACACAGACAAGCAACTCAACGAACGACACAACTATGTACATTTTGAACGAGCGAGGCCACACCCCGTAGCATGGTAACGACCAATCAAAATGGCTAGTTTAGGACCAATGGGATTCGTTCCCGCCGTTGGTCGGGGTCTTTCCGGATTGGACTGTTACGCAACAGTGACCAATCCGACTGCAGGGTTTAGAATACCTGAGAGTCAATGGAGCTTGTGCCTGAAGCTCCGGTTTAGATGACATTGCATAACAGATAAGCAAATACATAACAGCTTGTTTTCAATGCCTTTGTTTAACTTTATTTAATTTATTTATTAAATTTATATCCCGCCCTCCCTGCAAGCGGGCTCAGGGCGGGTTACATCAATCTCAATACAATACAATTAAAAACAACTTTAAAATACCAATTTAGAACAGAATATTGTTTCGCTGGCAAGCTGGCTGAAGCAGGTCTCCAAATACATACATACATACATACATACATACATACATACATACATACATACATTTTTGATTTCTATACCGCCCATGACCCCCAATGGGTCTCAGAGCGGTTTACACTGAACTACTTCTGTAGTTTGTTACCTGACTAGGGCCACAATTTCACGGGTAGGGGATTACCTAACAGCACCTAAATAAAGGGACAGGCCCCCTCCAGGCAGGCAGGTGTGTGAAAGAAGAGAAAAGAAAGGAGGCCCTGTTCTGTCCCGCGCTGTGGTGCTGCAGGCGACACTGGGAACCTGCCAGTGGAACCTCTGGCACCCTCTTGCTACTTCGCTTCCAAACTCGCACCTTAATCCTTGTCCTTCCTCTCTGGCAAGGTTGCATCTTCCCTTTGTCCTCTTTCGCCCTGCGCACACTTTCCCTTTTCACCTTGCCCACTCCTTCCTTCCCCTTGCTTTGCTGTTCTTTCTCTCTTGAGACTCTCCGTCCTTAACCGCCTGTCACGGCTCAGATGGGGTGTCACCTGACGCTGCCACCACTCTGGTTCCAGGCTCCCTTGAGAAGGCCCAGAGCCCCCTCCCAAGACCTTCTGACCTCCCTTTTGGACGAATAATAGGCGTGAGCAGGGCTTTTTTTGTAGAAAAGGCCCAGCAGGAACTCATTAGCATAATAGGCCACACCCAACAGCAGAAACTCGTTAGCCTATCAGGCCACACCCCTGACATCACAGCTAATTGGCATATTAGGCCACACCCCCATGTTGCCACACCCACCTTTGCTTCTTATTCTGTTTACTTTGTTTGTTGTCAAAACCCTGGGGGTTTTTTGTAGCAGGAACTTATTTGCATGTTAGGCCACATACCCCTAATGTAGCCAACCCTAATGAGTTTCTGCTGTTAGGTGTGGCCTATTATGCTAATGAGTTCCTGCTAGGCGTGGCCAACTCAGGAGACAGCCGGAACTCCGTTCCTGTGTGTTCCTGCCCAAAAACAGCCCTGGGTGAGGACCAGGCAGAGTGAACAATGAAAATAGTTTATTGTATAAGAGGTCAAACAACAAGGTGCAGAATAATAACAGTAAGTGGGTGAAAAGAAAAGAAATCAAATGCCCTAACGCGTCTAAATATAGACTGTCCCTAGCTCACTATCCCAAGTGACAATAGACTACGCAGGATGAGGGTCTCTCCCCTGCAGCAGCCTTCCTTCTGGCTCTGCCCTCTGGAAGAAAGAACAGCTTCTGCTCTGGCACCAGCCCTTTTGTTCCCCAGCCCTCTTCTTCCCTATTGGTCCATTTTGGCTCCAAAACCTCTCAGGGGCTTCTGGGAGTTGTAGGCCCAGCCTCACCTACTGCTAGCCAGGCTCCCTGGGCCTAGTAGGCCTCTGGTGGCACAGCCCAGATCATGACACCGCCGTTCCCTATCACGGACCTGCCCAGAATGGAGAGGTTTGCCGTGCCGATGACGGGGAATGGCAGCGGTGGGCCGGAGGTGGAAGAGGAGGAGCGTGCCAGGCTCAGAGGCCCCTCGTATAAATAGGGTTGCCCACCTCCAGGTGTTGGCTTAGGGTTGCCAGCAATGCTCCCTCTAAGCTGTGGAGTCTTGTGAGCAAAAATTCCTTTTTGTGAGCTACTGGCATGAAAGTAGTGAGCAGCAAGCTGTTTGGCTACTGCATAAATTAGTTTGCTGTGGCGCCATCTTTCCTGAGAGAAGACGAAAATGTGTGAACCGGAGGCTAAAGAACTGTGAGCTAGCTCACACTCACTCAGCTTAGAGGGAACACTGGTTGCCAGGGCTCTCCTGGCAACTGGTGGGTGATGGGGGGGCTTACCAGTAGGAAGAAGGTGGCCTAGGCCACGCTGCTGGCATTGCACAGGAAGTGACGCCATCATGCTAGCTACTTCCAGGCAATGCTCTGGTATTTGAGCAAAAACTCTATGGTAAAAGTGGATTTCACCATAGAGTTCTTGTCCAAATACCAGAGTTAGACAGCAGATAACGGATGGGGGCAAATGCACGGAACATTCCATTCACGTCCAGCTCTTTCCCCTGTTTGTGGCCTTCTTAGAGGCGGCTGGTTGACCCCGCTGTGAACAGAATGGTGGACCCGGAGGGCCTTTGGTCTGATCCGGCGGGCCTTTGGTCTGATCTGGCAGGGCTCTTCTCATGTTATGTTCTCTCTCCCATGTTTTCCAGGGCACTGATGTCTTCCCCCTGTTAGGCTCCGTCTTACGGGACCCTAAATATTTCAGCCACCCTGAGAGATTCTGCCCCGAACACTTCCTGGACGCTCAAGGCCGCTTTAAGAAGAATGACGCTTTTGTGCCCTTCTCCTCAGGTAGGCCTTTCTCTCATCAGGTAGGCCTTCTCCTCAGGTAGGCCTTTCTCTCTTCCACTCCCGACGTTTTGGTGGCATCCTGGCTCTGAAGGGACATTGCGAGATTGCTTACGACGCAGACTGATTCCTCACAGATGAGGCCAGAGGTCTGAAGGGGCTCACTGGATAACCTTCAGAAGGCGGGACCTCCCTCTGCCCAAACTTTCGCTTACAATTTATTTATTTATTATTTAAACTTTTACTCCGCCCTCCCCGCCGAGGCAGGCTCATGGCGGCTGACATAAAACCCAATAAATACAAAATACATCTCAGTATGAAATACACAATAAAATACACAATAAATAGTTTGGACCATTAATATAGCAATGGCGATCCAGATATAGTAAAGTGCGTTTAAGAGCACGTTCAGCGGTGCATCCACTCTAGGTAGCTTTGGCTGGAAGTAAGTCGGCGCAGGGCGTGGATGATAAAGTGCCGCTCCAATAGGAAGGCCTGCCAGAAAAGCTCCGTTTTCACGGCCCTGCGGAACTTGTCCCAGGCAGGGTTCCCCCTAAGCTGAGTTTGCGTGAGCTAGCTCACTGTTTTTTAGCCTCTGGCTCACACATTTTTGCCTCGGCTCAGGAAGGATGGCTCCAGAGCAAACTAATGTATGCAGCAGCCAAATTGCTTGCTCACAACTTTCATGCTGGTAGCTCACAAAGTAGAATGTTTGCTCACAAGACTCCACAGCTTAGAGGGAACATTGGGGGTCCCTCAGGGCCCTGATCTCACCAGGGAGCTCATTTCAATAGGTCGGAGCAGCCAAAGAGAACGCCCTAGTTCTTGTCAATGTCAACTGGCATCTTTGGGACCAGGGAGAGCCAAGGGATTTTGGGACCCTGATCGCAGTGCTCTCGGGGGGAACATGCGGGGAAAGATGGTCCCTCAGATAGGCAGGTCCTTGACCATAAAGGGCTTTAAAGGTCAAAACCAGTGCCTTGAAATGAATCCGGTATGCTACTGGCAGCCAGTGCAGTGTCTTTAGCACAGGCTGGATGTGCTCCCACATAGGGCCGGCGCATTTTGCACCAGCTGCAGCTTCCAGAGTTGCACCAAGGGCAGCCCCATGTATAGAGCATTGCAGTAGTCCAGCCTCGAGGTGACCATAGCATGGATCACTGACGCCATCCAGTGTTGGACTGGATGGGCCACTGGCCTGATACAACATTGGCTTCTTTTATGTTCTTATGTTCTTAGTGGGCAAGTAGAAATCACCCAATAAATCAACGCTCCAACAAAATCGAAGCTCTAACAACGAGGATCTGGATATATACTCGTTTCACACGGGCCTTCTTCCTGGTTGATCTATTTTCACAAATATCACTTATTCTCATTACAATACTAAGATGGTAAGGCGACTGTAAGGCGAGTGCCTATTTTGAAGATCAACAGACGATTGGCTTCCCTACTAAGACGTTTATTTTGGGAATTGGTTCCGTAACAACAAGGAGTGATATTTGTGAAACCAGATCGACCAAGAAGAAGACCTGTGTGAAACGAGTATATATCCGGGTCCTCATCATTGTAGCCTCGATTTTGTTGGAGTGTCGATTTATTGGGTAATTTCTAGATGCCCATTGTGCATGATCTGACAGAACTTTAGTGGAGATTCTCGGATATGTAATGAGATTGCATCTCCTTCACTGATTACTGCAATAGTTGGATAAAGAACTTTACGTCTTTCCTGAGTGCATTTATTATTGGCTATTTTGATTGTGGCAAAACTATGTACAGTAATTGTATGCAATTGATCGGACAATGCATGAATGATTCGTAATAATTTCACTAATACAAGACTGAATTTTTATAGTATACCCTTCATTGGTTCAAAGATATTATTAGAATCCTCGCATTACAGTGATATTTTTTCACTGTATTTTCACACAGTGTGATCCCATTTTGGGGGCTATCTGGAGAAGGCTACACTGGTACATTGGAGATTTGGTCAGCAACACCCTTTTAAAGCAGGGAACCCAGATGGAACGCACTGTCCCCAGGTTGTAGTTCTGGGAACCTCCACGTTCAGAGGCAGTAAACCTCTGAATAACGGTGATAGCAGGCAACATCGGGAGAAGGCCTCGGCCTCTCTGCCCTGTTGTTGGCCTTCTAGAGGAACTGGCTGGCCCCTGTGTGAGACAGGATGCTGGACTAGAGGGACCCTCCCTGGTCTGACCCAGCAGGGCTCTTCTGGTGTCCTTATCAGGGGAAGGCCTCGGCCTCCCTGCCCTGTTGCTGGCCCTCCAGAGGGACTGGCTGGCCCCTGTGTGAGACGGGAGGCTGGACTGGAGGGACCCTCCCTGGTCTGACCCAGCAGGGCTCTTCTGAGGTTCTTATGAAGGCCTCAGCCTCCCTGCCCTGTTGCTGGACCTCCAGAGGAACTGGCTGGCCCCTGTGTGAGATGGGAGGCTGGACTAGAGGGACCCTCTCTGGTCTGATGATACAGCAGGGCTCTTCTGAGGTTCTTCTCAGGGGAAGGCCTCGGCCTCTGTGCCATGTTGCTGGCCCTCCAGAGGAACTGGCTGGCCCATGTGAGACAAGAGGCTGGACTAGAGGGACCCTCCCTGGTCTGACCCAGCAGGGCTCTTCTGGTGTTCTTCTCAGGGGAAGGCCTCGGCCTCTCTGCCCTGTTGCTGGCCCTCCAGAGGGACTGGCCGGCCCCTGAGGGAGACGGGAGGCTGGACTAGAGGGACCCTCCCTGGTCTGACCCAGCAGGGCTCTTCTGGTGTCCTTATCAGGGGATGGCCTCGGCCTCTCTGCCCTGTTGCTGGCCCTCCAGAGGAACTGGCTGGCCCCCGTGTGAGACAGGATGCTGGACTAGAGGGACCCTCCCTGGTCTGACCCAGCAGGGCTCTTCTGGTGTTCTTCTCAGGGGAAGGCCTCGGCCTCTCTGCCCTGTTGCTGGCCCTCCAGAGGAACTGGCTGGCCACCGTGTGAGATAGGATGCTGGACTAGATGGACCCTCACTGGTCTGATCCAGGAGGGCTCTTCTTAGATTCCTCACACTGCTCTGCCTGGCAGAGGAAGGGATACGAATGTGATGGGTGATGATAACTCTGGATGATAGGAGTGGGGATCGTTACCTGGTGTTGTTCTGCTAACACAGAGGAGGCATTTTACGGAAGGAGGAGCGTTCCATTCATGCAGGACGAACAGTTGGAAGAGCATCTTGCGTTGGTCTCCTTCTGGAAGAAAGTCCCTCTGCTAGCAGAATGGATCCATGGAACCCAAGCCAGTCTCTCCCCAGGCAGAGACACACTGAGAAGCATGCTTGATCCAGAGCTGAGATCCATTTGGGACAAAACTGGGGCTGCAACCCCCCTCCCCCCCCCGCAGAACCACTTTGCCCCCGGCTCCACTCACGCCGCTCTCCTTTCTCTCCGCCAGGGAAGCGCATCTGCCTGGGGGAAGCCATGGCGCGCATGGAGCTCTTCCTCTACTTCACCACCGTCCTGCAGAACTTCTCGCTGAAGCCCCTCGTGCCCCCGGAGGACATTGACATCAGCCCAAAAGTGAGCGGCTTCGGGAACATCCCCCCCACGTACCAGCTGTGCCTGGTCCCTCGCTAAACCCCAGCCTGGCATCTGCACAAAGGGTGGGGAAGAAAAGGACCCTGTGCGTACCTATGGCCTGCCTCTCTAACTCTTACACTGGCGCATTTCCTCCTGAGCTGCTTCCCAGGTAGATGCCGGCGTGTTGTCGCGGAGCTTGCGAGACAGCAAACCTCCCCTGCTGTGTGGCTTTCTTTCTATGTGGAGAACCAGTTTGGTGTCATGGTGAAGTGCACGGACTTTAATCTGGGAGAACCCGGTTTGATTCCTCCACTCCCAGCTGCTGGATGACCTTGGGCAAGCCACAATTCCATCAGAAGCTGTTCTCTCAAGGGCAGTCCTCGGGAGAGCTCTCTCAGCCCCACCCGCCTCACGAAATGTCTGTTGTGTGGAAGGGAGAGGAGTTTGTAAGCTGCTCTGGGACTCCCTTGGGTAGTGAAAGGCGGGGTATAAATCCAATCTCTCCTCCTCCTCCTCCTCCTCCTCCTCCAATCCAATCAATTTGTTTTTCCCTTTCAATAGGGATACACATTAGTTCCACCCAAATGTAGTAATCACTTTTGTCACAATGACATTTAGCACCCCCTGAATTCATTCAGTCTGTCTGTCTGTCTATCTGTCTGTCTGTCATCTATCTCCATTGCCCAAAATACTGAAAATTCTTTATTTGTTGCTAATTGCTTGGTTTTAATTGCTTGAATTATGTGTTTTTGTTTGGTTTTCATGGTTTTTAAGATGAGTTTTTATTATGTAAGTTCGTAATCTGTTAGTGGCTGTAGCGGCCCTGATGAGGGCAGAAAAGCAGGGTATAAATGTTGTGAATAAATAAATATGCAAATTTGCATGTATTTAATTTATTTCACTTAAGAAATTATCACACAAAGTTTTGTATTCAAAAATAGATTTTTTTAAAGCAATAATTTAAGTAATAACCAACAAGAAGGGTTGAGAGGTAAGGAATGAAGGGATTGAAGGAGTATACCAACACAGGGACCAGAAACCACATGGAGGGAAAGGGGAGGTATGCCAACATCTCATGACTAAATTTACTGTTGGCAGTCCTAGCAGGCTCTCATTTCTGAGTCTTTTGCAGTCAAAGCAAAATGCTTTCAGGTTTCTCAAGGTGTTTTTATTATTTCCTCTTAATCTTTTATGATAAGATTCTTTGCTCCCTGGGGAAATGCCCAAGTGATTTGTGATTCTACACTGCTACTGAAACACAGTAAACTATAATTAACAAACATATTCATTTAAAATAATTTTTAAAAACCTTTGTGGAAGTTACTGCAAACTATGGCTGCCAACCTCCAGATGGGGCCTGGAGATATCCCAGGAGAGTCCGGACTTCAGAGATCATAGAATCATAGAATGTTAGAGTTGGAAGGGACCTTGCAGGTCATCTAGTCCAACCCCCTGTACTCTCCAGGAGCATATCCGAAAGATAGCCCTACAACATACCCGAAAGATGGTCGTCCAGCCTCTGCTTGAAAACGTCCAGCGAAGGAGCATCCACCACCTCCTGAGGCAGACTGTTCCACTGCTCAACCACTCTTACAGTTAGGAAGTTTTTCCTGATATTTAGCCCGTAACGACTCCCTTGTAATTCCCACCCATTAGAGCTAGTCTTGCAATCCGGAGCAAGAGAGAATAGATCTGCTCCGTCTTCTACATGACAGCCCTTCAAATACTTGAAGACTGCAATCATGTCCCCTCTAAGCCTTCTCTTTCCCAGGCTAAACAGACCCAACTCTTTCAGCCTTCCCTCGTAAGACCTGGATTCCAACCCCCTCACCATCCTGGTTGCCCTCTTCTGCACACACTCGAGTTGAAAAAGAAATTCAGCTGGCAGGGTAAATTAGGAAACCATAACGAGGGCTCCCCTCCGGTGGCATCCAGCATCCCAAAACGACAGGCATTCTCTGTACCTAATCCCCTTCCTGTCCAACTAGGTACGTGGGAGGAGAAATTCCTTTTAATAATATCAGTCCGCTGAAAAATCCTCCCCTGGATATGCTGTCTTGGGGGGGGGGGATGCAATGAATAAATACTTCAAGTAAACAAACAGGCCACTTTGCAAATTACAGAAACATTCTTCCCCTTGGACTCTGGCAGCCAAGCTTTACACCTCCGTAACCTCCAGACTGGGCTATTCCTACATGCTTCATGTGGATGTGGCAGGAAAATCAGTGAGCCCCGGGGCATTTCTGTATAACAGCCTATATCGGCTGAGGCCTCTCTGCTTGGTTCCTCTCCCATAAGGCTTTGCAGGCTTAGCTACATCTCCCAACCCTCTCTCTAGCCTGACAATGCACTCTGCTTCCAGTAAGGTCACAATAAAGTCTAAACATTGAGTTTGGTCGAATCTGCATTTGCATTTTTTAATCTGTTTCGTGCTGCCGTGACGCCGTTTCTCTCTTTGCTTGTTTGAATGTTGTTTGGAGAAAATTCTTTTAAAGCGGTGGGGAGGGGCAATGACAGTGGAGCCGCCACGAGAGGGCAATAAACATATGCGGACATGCAAAAGTATGCTAGCACTGTTGAGGTGTGAAAACAACACCAAATGTAGACAGCTTTTTTAAAGGTGGGAAAAACAAATGCAGATTTGACCAGAATCTACTGAAGGCTCTTAGATTCTTGGGATGAACTTATGATATTTCTGACTATTTTGACACATAACGTCCTTGACTGTCTAGGATAACTAGGGTATGAGTTCAGGGTGAAAACTGTTCTCTTTATTTTGATCTTCTGCTAAAAGCGTGTTAATGAGGGCTGAACCTGCGGGTACTGAGGGTATAAATGGTTGAAGACTTATTTGCTCTGGGCTGGTCATCAACCAGCTCTCTGTGATCTATTGTTAACTAGACCAGGGCGCTCTGTATTTCATACTAGGGCACTGTGTTTGTGTTGAAGTATTCTGTGCTGAATATGGAAATGTTGTTTTTGGTGTAGTGGTTAAGTGTACGGATTCTAATCTGGGAGAACCGGGTTTGATTCCCCACTCCTCCACTTGCACCTGGCTGGATGACCTTGGGCAAACCATAGTTCTGACAAGAGCTGTCCTTGAAAAAGAGCAGTTTCTGTCAGAGCTCTCTCAGCCCCGTCTACCTCACAGGGTGTCTGTTGTGGGGAGGGGAAAGGGAAAGGAGTTTGTAAGCCGCTCTGAGACTCCGAGAGAAGGGCGGGTTATTAATCCAGTCTCCTCCTCCTCCTCCTCCTCTTCTTCTTCCTCCTCCACCTCCTCCAAGATTCGTAAGTGTTGAAGTGCCTTCTGTCCTTAGAAGCTTCTGTTGTAATAAACTGGTTTTGTTTAAGAGCTATGGTCTCTTTCTCTCTCTATTGATTCAGTCCTTTGCCAGAAGAAGAAGAAGGGATTGGATTTATACCCTGCCCTTCACTACCCAACGGAGTCTCAGAGCGGCTTACAAACTTTTTTTGTAAGCCAAATCAAGAATCATAGCCTCTTGTAAGGTCAGCTTGTCTCTTTGGATCTTTCCTTCAGTACCTCACAGGTCCCTAACCTGGAGCCTTAGGTACCTATCCTATAGATATCTCAGTTCTTTTCCCTCCCCAGGCGAAGCCTTTTAAGTACCTCACTAACCCCCATGGTAGTTTCCCCCTCTTTCTCATCTGAGGCCATAAGTCAAGGGCTTCTTTAAAGATAGTAGACTGTTGTCATTTGGGGTTGTAATATACAAGCTTTAAAGTTCTTCTGCCGATAAGACATACCAAATGTTTTATGCTTCTTGCTTTCAAGTAGCCACTTGCTTCCAAGCAGTTATATCCAAATATGTTCAAAGAGTAGATAGCAATAGTCCATCCATGGGATTGGCTGGCCTAAATGCCACCGTTTCACCAAGCCTTCTTCACAGATGGACAATTGCAGCACACAACACGACTGGTCCTCCTCCTGCAGAGTCAGACTTCCGACAGATATCCGGGTAACTGAAATCTCCCATGACCACCGTGTCCCGTCTCTTTGAGAATTTCGTAATCTGTTCTAGGACTGTCTCATCCAAATCCTCTGCCAGGCTTGGTGGATTTCCGTTTCTGTACTCACCTGTGAGTTAATGTTACCTAACACTGATGTTACATAATTAATGCTAACGTTACCTAATGTAGCACACAGTTCAATTTGCAATATTTGGTAATAGTAAATGAACAAATAGACATGAGTGCTGAGTCCCTAGATTGGGAAACAGGATTCCTGCTTGATTCTGCAAATCCAGAAGGTCAAAGGTTGGGAGGGCTGTGTTGGAGGTGGGGGGGGGAGGGGAGGACCTGGGGGTCTCGCCACACTCCAGGGCTCAAAGTACTGCCCAAACCAGGGTGTTGCTGAGGAACTGTTAGGAGTTCCTATCAAGCTGCCCCAGAATTCCATTGGGCAGTGCCTGTGAAGCACCGCCAAGAAACTGGCATATATGTGCGTTTTCCACATCTCCTCTTGCCTAGTGTGTGTCTAGAGCCAGTTTGGTGCGGTGGTTAAGTGCGCGGACTCTAATCTGGAAGAACCGGGGGGTTGATTCCCCACTCCTCCACTTGCAGCTGCTGGATGACCTTGGGCAAGCCATAGTTCTGTCAGAGGTGTTCTTGAAAAAGAGCAGTTTCTGTCAAGAGCTCTCTCAGCCCCACCTACCTCACAAGGGGTGTCTGTTGTGAGGAGGGGGAGGGAAAGGAGTTTGTCAGCCACTCTGAGACTCCTTTGGGTACTGAAGGGTGGGGTATAAATCCAATCTCTTCTTCTTCTTCTAAATAGGATTGGGGGGTTGGAGGGGGGATGTAATCCATCCCAGTCTCTTAACAAGAATGGATCATTTTTTTAAAAAAGTTTATTTTGTAAATACACACCAAAAGCAGGCAGAGACATTCGGGGATTGGAAAATACAGAACAGAAAGTAAAACGAAAATTATGGATTATGACTAACTAGGCACTTACTCAGAGTGAAAGAGGAGCGCGCAAAACTGGGCTTGAAGCTCAACATCAAAAAAACTAAGATCATGGCATCCGGCCCCATCACTCC